GCAGAGCGTGTCTCATCTTCGACGTCCATATTACCAGAACGGAATCGTTGGAACCACTGCTTTGCTGTTGCATTCGATATTATATTGGGTCCATAAACAGCAAATTTTTTTGACCGCCTGCTCCGCTTTCTCCCTTTGGTCGTAATGGTACTGTATCGAATTTTCTCTTTTTTTACCTCTATTTTGGAACGCTCTAACACACAACTGGCTTCACCAAACACAAAACTGTCAAAGAACTTTTTTTAAAGCGTTATGTCACCTTCAAGTCGCAATATACAATAGAATGACCAGATGCGACGTATACATCGTGAGATATGACCTCACTAAAGCCATCTAGCGGAAAACGCTCAAAACTTTTTACTTAACCCAATATAAGCGTGCCAAAGACAGGTCTTTTCTGATTCCAGATCATCATTATAAAGCTAGCTACCGCTGTTACTTCTCACGTCCAATGGAGTTATAAAAATTGGAGTTGTAAAAATGTCAAGGTTCATACTCTATAAACACATATCTTCTATTATATATTATCTTACATACATACACACACTGCATGTGTATATGTATGATACAAAATATGTATATGTATAATAAGTTAAATAAATATGTATAAAGTTTAAAGTCTTTATCACTGTTTTTCTCAGAAGTTATTACTTCTATAGTAAAAATGCATAAAACATAAAATCTATATTTTGAAGAGACTTACAATTTTTACTTGAAACATTTTTTGAAATTTCCAGTATTTGATAAAATAATTGACAAAAATGTTAATTTTTAATTTTTGTTAATAATTTTTTAATGAAGAACGAGCGACAAGAAAAGTTTATGACTTTGACATCCTTAAGGGTCAAGGTTAACATCAAGGTCAACCGGAGGTCATTTCACGTGGGCTGTGTAAAGGAATATTTACCGAATGCCGCAATATAAATTTTATAATTTGTTAAAATTAATTGAACCTGTACTACAGAAACAAAACACATCGTCCTGTGAGACAATTTCACCGACAGAATATTAACATTTTCGCTTAATTTTTCCTGCTCCATTCTCTGCTGCATTCGTTTTCTACCGCTGATTCAGACTGACGTACCAGCACCGACACATACCGACACGTACGGTCATAGACATAAAGGTTGTTACTTTTTTTTAAATAACTTTCGGGTAGTCGCTGTGCGCTCTGTAGTCGCCGTGCGTTCGGAATAACACTAGAGATGTTGCTTTCGAACGACATCTCTTAACGTTATCTAGGGAGGGAAGAATGTCATGACCGTGGAACGTCAGGTAGCTCAGTGGTTTAGAGCAGTCGCCCGGCAAGACCCGGGTTCGATTCCCGGTCACGCGACTACAGCGACTCTTGATATTTTCCTCTCTTCGGAACGAAAATAAGATGCAGGTCCCGAACGCACGGCGTCCCGTCGCCACCTAATACGCCCTCCTTCTTTCGTGGTAAACAATTCTTACAGTTTGCTTGTAATATCTATCCTTAATTCTTATCTATAGACTGCTATAGACAAATATGAAAACAATTTTCAACATAATTAATATGTTTCAATATAATTTATGTGTTTTATAATTTAAATGTTTCAGCATCAATTCAGCGGAACTTTATGACATACTTATGTCATACCACGTATATTTCATTTCTCGTCTTTTGTTATGAGTCACTGCGCAGGCTCCGCGGCGGAGCAGCAGCTCTCATCCTTTTCGAGTCGGGTTACGTCCCGAAAGTTATTAAAAAAAAAGTGACAACTTTTATGTCTATGACCATACCGACGCGCACCGTCAAAATATTGTTTGCGAGAATGTCGGTCGGCGCCGGTACGTCCCGTTGACGGAACGTGCAGATCGGTGTCGGTTAGTGTGAATAGTTTCATTAAAACGCGTGTTTTAAAGTTTTGTCGTATCGGTTCCGGTACGTGTCGTTACCGGTACGTGACGGTCCGTGTCATATAGTGTAAATCGACCTTTATGCGTCGCCATCTCTTGGCGCGAGTGTTGCGTATCGCGGTATACGTGTTATGTGTCATATCGGGTTGGGCTACAAGAACTATTAGGTTAGGCGTCAATCGCGCCATCTCTCGGTGTTAGACGCAAAATAACATTCTAGAAATGGGTCGACAACGTTTCTGAATGATAAAACTTAGCTATTTCTGATTTTGCGCTAAGATATATTTGACCACAAGGCATGCAGAGCAAAAGTAATAATAATTTTGTTATATAATTGGACCCTCTGGAATCGATTGAGACAATTTAGAACTTGATTAGATCAGCCGTTATAGCAAAACGAGAAATCTAGCCTCTTATTAACTAAAGGGGTCGCGTAATAATAGGCGGCCGGTCTCATACTGTTGTACATGTCTCGCTTCGCGCGTTCACTTGGCGCGAGACGTTGCCGCGTCTCTTGATAAAGTTGCAGTGTGTCAGTCAGAATGTTACAATATATTAAGTTGAATATTATCAGATATTAACTTTGTTTAAGCGTTATGAATTTTAAAGCATCATTTTCTATATATTATTACTACCACAACCTTTGAAAAACTCAAACAATTTGAATACAGCGCACAAATCAATATGCATAAATTAAACATCGCATTAGAATATTTAAACAGATATAACAAAAGTAAAGGTTATATAAAGTTATGTGTACCAGTTTTATATGTGACGTAATATGTACATTTAATTTCATATAATGTTCGCATGTGGAGTGCCTTTCCGTCGGCAAGCGAGCGTCCGCTGCTGTCGGCCGGTCATACGCGCGATCGCGAGGGCTGATACTGCGCGCGGAACTTGTTCACAAAGTCAACGAAGATGTTGCCTGACAAAGCGGTCAACGGAATCTTTTTTTTGACGGTTGGATGATGATCACAACCGTTAAATCACCCTTTTCTGATTTCCGACTTGCGTGATCGATCAGATGATCGATCCTTGCGCGAACATATAACCTTTATTATTTGTTACCTGATTCAACTATTCTTAGACGATGCTTTCATTTATGTACTTATTTGTACAGTATAATTCAATATTACACATATTTGTGCTTTTCAAAGGCTGCAGTAACAATAAAATATAGAAAGTGATATGTTGAAATTCATTACGCTTAAAATAAAGTTATCGTCTGATAATATACAATTTAATTTGTTGCAACACACTCTGATGGCATGCTATAATTTATATACAGGGTTTATCAAAAGTGTGGAAACCCTTAAATAATTTTTATAAAAATGAAAATATCAAAAAATGGTAAAACACGTATTTTAATTTTTCAAAAAGCTACCCTATGACATGGATATCGATCATTCCCCACCCCCTGGTACGCGGGGTAAAAGGGGGGTTGAAAATTTTAAATTGGACTAAGGGTCGAGTGAGGGCTCATTTGAAAGGTCTTTTCATAACAAACACACCCTTAAAATGTTAAGGGGTTATATACAGTCAGAAGACTAAAAAAGTGGGATTTCTGATGATTTTTAAGAAAAAACTGAGAGGTTTTTATTTTTTACAAATATATGCATTTGAAAAAGTAACATTTTAAGAATGTCTAAAATTTTTTTTAATCAAAATTTTAATTTATAAGAGCGCATTAGCCAGTCTCCACAGGTTTTTAAGAAATTTAATGTGCGGTGAGCAACATAACTGAAAGCCTAATCATCTGGAATAAAAAATCAAACAGATTTCATTAATATATAATAATAGCTAGTGATTAATCGTTCGGTTTTGCAAAATATTGATTTATAACAAAATGGCGGCTTTTTAAAATTAATGTTTTGATTTTTATCAAAAAAATTGCCTATTTTTGATCATAAAAAAGAAAATATTTATCGGAAAAAATAAATCCATCGATCAATCACGAGATGTTTATATCTAAAATAAGTACGTAAAATTTCAGAGTGATAGGTACTGTAGTTTTTAAGATATCTTGCTCACCGACTTCAAAAATGTCATTTTGAGAAAAACTCGTTTAAAGTTTTAAAAGCGAATAACATGTATTAATTTTTTTTTTGACATTTACACAGTATCGTCTATTCCAGGCCCATATACTTTGCCTTCTTCTTCATCTGCTGCCTTCAAAACATCAATTTTTGTTGTTGTTGTCTGCGAGAAGCTCTAGCCTCCCGCGTGCTCTCTACTGCTCGCCTCTTCGCTGTTGCGATGCGCGCTTCGTCTTCATTATTGGCATATAGATGTGTATTTCGTCCAATATTAACGCCTAAACAGTTCATTATTTGTAGTAAAGACTGTGTGCCTCATTAAATATACAAGCTGCTATATTTGCAGCTAATTCAACAATAATCGCGCCACTAGGAATAATTTTAGGGCTTATTTTCCATTTAAGCTGATTATAACTCTCATTGTTGTTCTGCGTAAAACCACCCACACATCTTTCTAACAAAGCGTTCTTGCTTAGGTCTTCATAATTAGCTTAATTGCCATTAAAACATCTTAAGGTAAAGCAGTATAATCACGTTTAAATGATTTTAATTCTCCTTTTGCTGAAGCGTGCTGCCAACTACACCACGAATCAGGTCCGGGCGGGCACTTGTCGTGACACGGATTATCATCAGTTGAACTATAATGATAGTAGGTAGCCCATATCGCATTATGCATCTCTTTTACCGATTTACAATTTCGTCTAATCGCTAGTCCATAATAAACGGTAAGCTTATCGATCATTTTGCCGGTAAGCTCTCCTTTCCGCCGAGCGATGTTCTCTTTGTTTTGTCTGTTTCTCCACAACAGATTTTGTTTTACATTCACGGAGGCGACTTCCCATACGTTTTTGAACATGTCCTACGCACTCTTTTTTATTAATATTTATATCTCCATAAGGAGCAGCATCAAGAACTCCTTTATACGTTTTAGAGTCGCCGTCTCCGATGAAATTCATATATTTCACGCCGTATTTTTCCTGCGATCTTTGAAACATTTCGACTATAGCATTTACCTCCATTTTTCCATAGGAACCCTCATGATTAGCAAGACATTCTTTTGCGTGTGTGCTAATCCATTCTTCATATTCCTGAGTATCCTTTTTTATCCCAGTACTCGCATTTCTTACAATATGCGCTTTTCGTAACAATATCTATAATTTTTCCAGTATAATATCCAATTAAAGAGGAAACGTCATATAAGGAAGAGAACTCGCGTTTTTTCCATGTACCATCACCTGACACAGTAAATTCAGATGTCTCTTGAATATTTCTTGCTTTNCCTTCAAACGTGGTTGCTATATCTTTGATAATGAAGTGCGAATCATAACCGGATAAGTTGTGAAAGACCACGGGAATGCAGTAACTGACTCGGTAATTTAGATTGCAATTGGAATGTGCGGGATCTCTGTACCGTCCAGTCAGGTGGCAATGATCGGGCACGCATGTATCATCCTTTGCGAATGATTTCTCGCACACATGGCACAGCGTAGCGTTCCGAAATGTCTCCCACTGTTCTTTCGACAAAGTTTCCATGGAGACATTTGCAGACAAAATATCCTTTACACGATGTGCTAGTTCTTCAAGTTCTTTGACAAACCACGAGATGCAATCCGGATCGCGACGACATCGATACGCGGATAAAGACTCGTTGTAGGAACATCGCACGTAATACGCTATACTAAATACGTTATGATGTTGATACGCATACGAACTCGTTTGTTTTTCCCTCGGTGCCTTCTCCAGGATGCATTTCAAGTCGACGTAAACTACAAACGGGACCCGCTCTTTCCTGCAGTAGTTGGTGAAGCTGAGCCATTTGTTATCATCGTTTGGCAAGGTGATGGCGCAGTTATTCATTTTTTCACAGTCGACGGTTTGGCTCTCCAGCTTCTCGCTCGAACTGAAGTAATGCAAACATCTGGAAAAACATTATTTGTTATTAGTATATGTTACGTTATTTATTATATATTGCGTTCTTAGTGTATACTTACCGGTCGCAAATACGTTTCTTGTGCTCCTTTTTGCTCAGCTACGAACTGACGAGTCGGGACAAATTCTTGATCCACGCGAAGTGTCCAGCGTTGTCATCATCTCGCGGATCTGGGATATGCAGCAGGTTGACATGCTTCTCCATTTTTTGTTCCGTGAGACCTATGGGCATGACCACGTTTCCTTCTTTCTTTGTCCCGTTGTTATATCTCTTCTCCACACTATGAATGTTGATCGAGATATTGTTCAACCGTTCAAACTTTTTAATTTGGTTTATGCGCATTGGAAATTCAATGTCGTGCATATTCAACACCGATGTATAGTGTGGGTACGAAGATTGACGATCTGCGTGTTTGTCAGCTGGACATAACGCTGCAACCACCGCCCACGCGAAACATGCATTGTCCTTGGATTGCATACTGATCACAGCTCGCTTCATTTTTATTTCGCGCGGTAATTCAATGCGACATCCCGCACTCATCGGTTTGTACTTGTTAACGTTAACGGTCAGATCGAGTATGCGTGAGAGTGCCCACCCGCTATCTCGTTCCTGAAATTCTTCCAAGGACGCTAAGGTGGATTCGATAACACGCATCGCGAACCAATTGTCTAGATCAGATGTGGAAAAAAGTTCAACGTTCCTCTTATTGATGCTCTTGTTTGCACGTTTATCACCCGCCACAAATTCACCGTTGAACACAGTATTCACTTTTACGCTACCGTGTCTCTTCATAACGCGTCGCACATGCTCGAGCACGGTATTCTTCACATCTTGGAGAAATCGAAGATGGTCGATATATTCTGTATTTACAATCGCCTCGGTTGATATGCGACTATTGAACGCTGTATCGATTTGTCGCCAAAAAAGTGTTGAATGTCCGGCTCCTGCGTATACGAAACGTCTGCGCAAAGTATTTTTTAAACCCTCGAGTTGCGCTATACGAGCAACCATCGAGTGTGCTGAACTAACCGATAGTCGTGGTTGTTTGGCTCGGCTATGCCGTTCCAACGACTCGAGACACTCGTCGTACTTTTGTTCCCATGCGAGGTATTCGTCTAGCGAGCCTAATCGAGCGGCCTGATTCTGCAGCTCGCGTTCTACGGATGATAATGATGATGATTCTACCATTTTTCTAGCAAACGTTGTAAACACACTGTAACTGCGCGCTCTGTTCGTCTTTGACTATAGAATATTCTTTGAACTTTTTATAGCCCTTTATTCTTCCAAAAATACATGCCGTTATCAAAATTCAGGAAACTTCCTCGATGAACTTTTAAACATATTCTTGGGTCTTAAACTCATATCGACTCGTTGTGGACTTTGCCTAAATGCATGCCTTTCTGTATCTGATACAATAATAGGCTTATAGACCTATGATTTGGTATCAGCGTCCACTCTGTTCGTCTTCGACTAAACTATAGAATGTTCTGCTTTGAACTTTTTATAGCTCTTCTGTCTTTCACATGCGCACACGCACGCACGCACACATATCGTTATCACATTCTTCCTGCTTCTTTTTATCTTGTATAGTGTATAGGATGAAGTTTTTGTACCGTATATAAGAATTCTGTTTTAAATATGTCATATTAGTGCATACATATTGGATACAGATTGCATGGTGTTATTTGGTAGACGGGGTCTCTACAGTTTGAACAAAATACACCATTAATCACATCGTGTCTTTCGATAATGTCACTGCAAATCACGCACTGCAAATATTTCTGTAACTGTATCGCGGACACCATCAAAAAAACATGATGCACAGAACCGTAGATTGTCTCCAAAATTATATGAAAAATAAATGCAACACATTTGTTTGGCCATTCAAAGTATTAATTTCTGAAACTTCCAATTTCTTCACTTTTTCATTCATTAATTGATTACTATTGTCACTATCATAATTACTATCATCCGTGAGTATATGATTTATATCTTCTTCGTCTTCTATTTCTTCGTTTTCTATTTCTTCGTCTTCTACTTCTTCATGCTTTATGTTTTTGCAATCCATACTAAAAGAGCTCTGACTGGGAAATACACACAAAATTAAATCTATATGCTTCACTTTTGCCACTCTTCTCGTTATTATTTGAAGAATCAGCGACGACACCTTTTTAATACTTTCTTCGATATTACTCAAACACGGGCCACAATAAGCGATTGATGCTGGGGGCGTGGGTAGCATCTTCGCTCGTTCGCTTCTATAGTCTAGTCCCTCATTTTAAACAATCTTCGATAAATAACTCCCGGAAAAACCTAGCCAAAAATAGTCATATCTTTACATGATGCAGCACTAAGTGCTTCACAGGATGCACCCTATGCTAAGATATGCATACCTTTCTTTATCTAATACCACAATAGTACTTGTAGACCTACGATTTGGTATCAGCAGTCTGGGGGGGTCGACGACTGACAAAAATATTTTGGTCAAAATGTGATATTGTAATACACAGCACCATTATATTGCAGCGTTTACAAATTGTAATAAAAGTATAAATATTACGCATTTCTGTACTGCGCATTATTTTCTGTCGTACTGCGATGCGCTATGACTGGTATTATTTCATCGACGTATGACTGTTTAATTGACTGGTTACAACGCTGTGCCAGAGAATTAATATCTAGTTTCAGATGATATATTGATATGTATCATATCATTGATAGTTCTCAACATTAGAAATGTTGAGAACTCTGAAGAAAACGATGGAGGAGATGCAGCATTATCGGGGAAACTTGCCTGTGTGTGTATGTGTGTTGAGAACTCTGAAGAAAACGATGGAGGAGATGTAGCATTGGCAGGGGAAACTCGGAGGGAAACTTGTCTGCGTTAAAGAAACTCCTGCATCAGTCACTCTATAAAGACACGGTTCGACAGTCGCTCTGTCAAAAGACAAGGTTCGACAGTAGCTTCCACATACAGTAAACCAAAATGTCCGATGTCGAAGTGAATGCTGTACAAGCAAATTATTACACGCCTGTTCAACATGCGGATGAGGATGAGGATCACCCCAGGTGGAAACAAAACGACGAGTATTTCGAGGAGCCACCATGCAAAATGGAACGTAAGAAGTGAGTATCAATGTGAATTTGGTTGATACTTTGTGTGCACTTTCCCGACCGAATTTTTAAATGTATATAACATTTACATTGTATTTTTATAGCATTCTTGAGCCATGTCATGCTACTTGTATCCTGGGGCGCAGATATGCTTTGACTGCAACGTCTCATAAGTATTTGGAAATTGGACTCAATGTACAATATCGACCCCACGCCGTCGTGGAAATAGTACTCGGCGACAATCGCGGTAATGAACTAATATTACATACAGACACTTGGGGAAAACTGATGGAAAATCGTGGTGCTGTACGACGACTTCTGGAAGCGCGCAACCCATCGTACTTTCCGCTACGGATTCAAAATTTAGGAGTGAAATTGTTCGAGCTAAATGGTGCAAGAATTGTAAAATTAAAGCAATCTTCTAAGTGTTTGTATTTGAGTCTTGCCACAATGAACAAGTTATTTACTTATCAATTTATCATATATATATACGCAGTTGTCTGAACAGTCGTATCTGGTTAGATCAAGAATTCTAACTTTTGTAAAAGTTCTTCGAGAAAAAAAATTACCGAAATGTGCTATACGGTAAAAGCGATACGTGAAAGCGCTGCCTTTGACAGCGAGTCACTTATTGATTGCGAGCTGTTGTCATGTGCTTCGAAAGGTATCTTGCACGAAGCTATGAGCTGTTTGGTATTCTGAGCTGTTTGGTATTCTGAGAAATAAATTACTTTGTTATATATTATGATATATCTTTTTTACTTTAGACCACATCCCTTCTTTCAACTTTCCCTTATCCCCTTTCTTAAGATTTTATATGTTAATTATGTTAACTATATTGATAAAAATACTTCTTTATTTGCGGTATGATGCTTATTAGACGTTCGATAGACGTTCGTGAGACATTCGATAGACGTTCGATAGATGTTTGATAGACGTTCGATAGACGTTCGTGAGACGTTCGTGAGACGTTCAATAGACGTTAGTGAGACGTTCGAGAGACGTTAGAAAGATGTTCGATAGACGTTCGAGAGACGTTCGATATGGTGCAGTAAACGAAGGGCCTGGGGTTTGAGTCTGACCTAGTTTCGACTTATCTTTTCTTTGACGTGTGCGTGATGTCACGATGCACACTCTAAGAACCTTCACTAGACGTCTTATAGCAACAGGCGACGGTGGTCTAGGAGCTTTGGAGCATTGGATAGTAACCGCGAGGATCCGGGTTCGAGTCTAACAGCAGCTCGACAGTTTTTTCACCATCTAGTCACCATCTAGTCCATGGAAGCAAAAAAATTCTAGGGAGGGGGTATTAATAAAGGGGGTATTAACGAGAACTATTTAATTAAAAAAAGCGGTTTTGCAAAAATTTTTAGAAATTGGGTTAGAATCGGCCTAGCTATTCTACTCATATACGTAAACTTTTTTCTTTTACGAACTTTTCACATAATTACTTCCATACCCAACAAATCTGTTGCACTTATGTAACTTCTTTGCATAACTTTTTAATAAATAATGAGCAACGGCTAATATAACAATAGTAAGAAGAGTAATAATGAATATCGAGTACGACGAAGCGCGCGAAACATATTGGGTAAAGTAAAAAGTTCTGAGCGCTTTTTCTCTTTATTTCGACGATGAAATTAACAAAGTTAGGATTATCTGATTTAGATCAAATATGCACCGTTTTGTTCGATAACTTTTGTCCATTTTGAAGGCAATTTCGTAATTCCGCGATTGAAGAAGTCCTCGTCCCTATTGGTAAAAAACTTGAGCAGCTCATTTTCACAAGCCTCTCTTGAAGCCAGTTTTGTACCATTAAAAAAATTTTGCAAATGCTTGAAAAGGTGATAATCGCTTGAAGCCAGGTCTGGGCTATACGGCGGGTGCGATATAACCTCCCATCCAAGCTCTCGGAGCTTCTGCCGCGTCGTCAAATATGTGTGCGGCCTGGCATTGTCTTGATGGAACACAACACCCTTCCTATTGACCAATTCT